GAAAAGTGTGGGGGAGCTTTGAGAGTCCTGGCAACGCTCTGAGCTGGAGGAGGGATGGCTTGGGAGCGTTCTGAAAGGGCATTCAGGGTTGGCGAGGGAAAGAGGAAGTTATTAACAAGAGAACCGGAAGAGAGGATGAGTGGAACTGGGACGGGAAAAAAAGGACGCCCTGAGGAGAAACCAACTCAAATCTTGAGAATAATGTTGCATCACAAGATCTGACTCGCAGGGTACTCAGCTGCTACCACATCAATTTTTGCATTGATTAACTGTAGCAATTATCTTGGATTGGACCGACTCCAAAAGTTCATCAGTCGTAGATGAACATCCTGTGATTACCTTCAGGAATTTTAAATTAAAATGAAAAAAATTGCTATTCATGAGAAGTTTTACTAGAAAACCAGGTCACCTCCAACAGCTAATGCTAAATTTTTTAATGGATCTCCGACTACTTGCGCTTATTGACTTTAAAATACAGTTATTTCTCTATTCTACTAAAAGTTGTTGTTTGTGACACATGGAAACTCCTAATTACTTAAAAACTCATATATGTTTGTTACATTTATCACCTAAAGATGTTGCCATTATTTTACCGATGTAATACATTCTGGGGCAATGACGTACATCGGTTGTAGTGAAGACTCAAACACAAGGATCCAAGGTTAAAACATAATGTGACAATAAAGTTCTGTTTTTTTTTAGTCCTTTGCACAATATATAAGTTGAAATGTTTAAATGTAATCAACTTGTGATGCTATTAGCCTCTGTGCTAACGCTATTAATGCTGGAGCTAAAGCTATTAAGCCCTGGAGCTAACACTATTGACGTTGGAGCTAATGGCGCTAACACTATTAACTCTCAAGCAAACATCACTAGCTCTGTAGCTAACACTATTAACTATAGCTAATGTAATTAACTCTGTAGCTAACACTATTAACTATAGCTAATGTAATTAACTCTGGAGCTAACACAACACTATAGCTAACGTAATTGGCTCTGGAGCTAACACTATTGACTCTGGAGCTAATGGCCATAACGCTATTAACTCTCAAGCAAACATCACTAGCACTGGAGCTAACACTATTAACTCTGCAGCTAACGTAATTAGCTCTGGAGCTAACGTCATTAGCTTTGGAGCTAATGCTATTAACTCTGGAGCTACAGCTATTATCTCTTGAGTTAATGATATTAGCTCTGGAGCTAGCATAATTGGTTTTGGAGCTATTGACTCTGGAGCTAATGTCATTAGCTCTGGAGCAAACGCTATTAACTCTAAAGCTAACATCACTAGCTTTGGAGATAACACTATTGACTCTATAGCTA